GGGACAAATCCCTCTGCCTTCCCAGGGAGAGACAGCCCCACTGCTCGGGAGGACAGCACCGAGGGAAGGCAGAGGCAAGGACACACAGGCAGTGACACCAAACCTGCTCCAGGAACAGAGGTCAGGGCAGGTAGAGTGGAGAGGCTGCAAAGATGGAAATAATTAGCCCAGCTGCAGCAATAATCCTTTTAGCTGCACAGAAGGTATCCCCTGGTGCTCCCTTACCTCGGATATTTAAAGAAGAGACACTGAAAACAGGAGCCACGCTGTGTGTTATGACCACCTTTACTAACTGGTCTGCTAGGAAAGAAAAGGGAAAAACCAGTGGATTGATTTCTGAGGAGCAAAAAGCTCATTAGACTTGCAAAGAAAACCCACTCAAGTCTAAAGGCACAGATACTTCTCCTCCAGACTCCAGTGTAAACCACACATGCTTTCCACAGGCACTTAAAAAAACCCAGCCTACAACCAGCAGATTTCAGTGTAAAACAAAGCTCCAGCTCACAGATGGAGGAGGGAGATCCATCCTGCTGCAAGAGAGACTCGGATTCACTCAGTCCCTCACAGCAGAGCTGTGCCCAACTTAAACACCCCACTAGGGTTTACCTAAAGGGCCACAATTCGGCTGCATTCAGCACCTCCTAGGGTGACCTGCAAAGACAGCTTGGGACTGAGGGCTGTTCATGCTAAAAAGCCAGCTGGGAACAGCAGTGCACAGGGCAGGAGCTCCACATCTCCAGGAGGGAGCAGCGATCCAGCGTGGGGGCTGCACCTCTGGCAAGGCTGAGCCAGCCTGGTGCCCAGTGAGGTTTCCCCAAACCCAACCCCTCTGCCCCGATCACTCACCCTAATCCTCCTCCCAGCAGTGCTGCCAGGTGAGTGGGGACATCTCTGTGCTGCTCTGCACCATCAGCAGCCCAAGCAGCTTCTGCAATTGCTTCCTTTTCCATCTCCAGGGGCAGGCAGAGCCCCGCAGTGCCCAGCACTACCCAGTTTAATGATGAGCACCCCAACCCCAAGGATGTGCCCCTGGGGCCAGCCCCAGGCACCAGCAGCCAGCTCTGGAGTCTGAGCACCACAGCTAAGCCAGCAGAGCCCCTGAGGAAGAAAGAGATTACACTGCACTGGCAGAAAAACCTAGAAAGGCAGCCCAGCTCTGCTGCCACTGCAGCAGCAGGGAGAGGCCCTCAGAGAGCTGCTGCTCCTCTGGCTGAGGCTGGGAGCAGCCAGGATGCTCAGCTGGGGCTCCCCGGGCACCAGCTACAGGACAGGAACACAAGGGGAACGATTCCCCCCTCCTTGGCTACTCCAAGGCAGCCAGGGAGGCTGTTCTGCTTCAAGAAAGGGCTCTCGGTGCTTTTCCACAGACTCGTGGGTTTGCAGACCTCAGCATGAGCCAGACAGCATCAGCCACGACCATTTTGCTCAGGGTCGGCAGCTTTATCCATGTGCAGAACCACAAAACCCCCAAATTCCTTTTAAACCCTGCTGCCCCATTCCAGGAGCACCAACAGCGTGCCAGCATCACCCAGAAGGACTGCCACAAGTCCAAGGCGTGCGCTGCAAGCTCCCACCTCTCAGTCCAGCCCCACACAGCCGAGGAGTCAACCAGCCAACCTACAACCGACTGACCTCACCAGCCAGCAAGCTGAGCAAACTGGAAAATGCTGGGAGCCAGGTGGAAACCAGCGCCCGGCTCTTCCCTGACTCGTTCATCAAGTGTCAGAGCATTCCTACAGCTAAATTAGCAGCACTGCCCCAGAGGACACCAACACCACAGCCAAGCCTCAAGAGCATGCTGGGCTGACAAAATAAGATTATTCTGCTCAAGACAAACTCAAATCCACAGCTTTCTTCCAGGTTTTGAATAATCTCGCTTTTGGGAAGAAAGGGGCCGGCCACCCTGAGCATTTCCCCTTAGACAGTGCCTCGTGATCCCATTTTCCACGCTCTGCCAGCCAGGGGATGTGTGGGGTGGGCACACCCAGCACGGCCGGCTCCGGTGGGATCGCAGCCACGGCAGGACGTGTCAGGACAATTTGCCACCCCCGTGCTGATGAAGGCAGGCTTTCAGGAGCTCCAGCACAACACCAGCTCAAAAACATTCCCAGCGGGGCTCCTCCAAGAGCCCCGCAGCGCTGCGGAGCCCAAATTCCACGTGGGGACACAAAGGTAAGAGGAGCGATCTGCTCCGTCCCTGCTGCTGCAGCCTCAGGACTGCTCAGGCAAGCCCAGCAAGGGGGTACCCAAACACTGCCAAATCCCACGCCTGGAAAACCCTGGAAAAAAGCCTTTGGTGCTACACAGATCAACGAGCACTCCGTGAGGAGCTCGGTTATCCGAAACGCAGCAGAGGAACACAAAAGGCAGAAGATGAAACACCCACCTCGCCAGCATGCTACGAGCATCCCTGACTGGCTACACCCAGCTCTTCCTCACGGAGAAAGGGCAGCTACAGTGGCACATTTTCCTCGTTTTTATCCTGTGAGGTCTGGCCAGGGGAGTAGAATTTCCCATGGCTTTCAAGAAGGAAACTACAAAGCTACAGCACTCCCTTTTCATATATAAAATATATTAAATAAATATATATGCTTGGTCCTCCTGAAGCTGCAGTCCTTCAAGCACAGAGGGAAAGGGACAGTTTGCATGGAACACCTTGGGAAGGCAGAAAATGGAAACAGAGGGCAGCAAGGGGATACAGAGGGGTGGGAAGGGTGAGCAAGACCAAATTAGAAGCCTGACCTGCAAATAATTAACACAGTGCTTGACAGAGGGAGCCACACAAAACCTGCACTTGCCACCTGCAGGGACTGGGCCCATCCCCTCCTCACGGAGCTCCCACCACTGCTATCCCCAGTTAATCCCCGCTGATGCAGGATAAACATCCCTATCTGATCTGTGACACCATCTGTGGGACGGGCATCGCATTCCCAGGTCTCAAAACATGAACCCTACCTGCATCTCACGCAAAGAATGAGAAAATGCAGGACTTTAATCAGGTGTGACCCATCTGCCAGTGGATCCCCATCCCTGGAAGCTTGGAGGGCAGGTTGGAGGAATCTGGTCTCATGGAAGATGTCCCTGCCCATGGCAGGGGGTGGAACGAGATGGTCTGTAAGGCTCCCTGCAGCCCAAACTGTTCCATAATTCTGTGTTCAAATCCTCTACGAACTACAGGTAAATCAGCCAACACTTCGCTTTTCTCCTCAAGCTGCTTATCTTGGGGTGAAAACCAAGCATTTAGTGTATCAAGAGGGAACAAAGCATAACTGGGTTAGGCAATTTCTTACTCCTAGAGAGAATGTTTCAATTTTTCTCCCCTCGAGAGCAGTCTGCAAACGCCCAACTGAGATCTGTTTTGATTGACCACCCTGAGAAAAATAAAGCCAAGAAAATGGAACCCCACAAGGAAAGCCATTAAACACCCCAAATGTGAGGTACTGGCAGCAGAGCCAAAACCTTCCACAATGGAAGCGGGCAGCCATCGCTCGACAAGACAAATTAACGATTGTCAGTGGCAAATTTTGTTCCACTGATTCAGACACGCATCCAACATCTGCCCACATCCACGCTGGGGAAGCTCGGGAATACTCTGCATACAAATGGTGACAGCTTAGCTCATCTCAGCTGCTCCTTCCAGCACGCTGCCAGGCAAGAGCAGCCTCTCGCTGCAAATGGAGCTGCACCTCGCGTGGTGCTACCACAGCAAATGGAAGGAGAAACTCCCTCTAAAGTGATGGCAGCTGCCCTCTGCGAGCAGCAGCAGGATTGCGCTGCTAGGTGGTCAGAAACACCAGGAAAAATCATCTTCCCTAAGCCAATCCTCCCTTGAGCTCATGTGGCAGCCAGGGATGCAGGCAGAAATCTCCATCCCTCATCTGAAAGGAGCCGGTTCTGCTCCTCGCAGGTTGAATTGCTCCAAGGCAGGAGGGCAGGTGTGTGCTCCTGGAAACACCTGGCCAGGAAACTTCCCTTTTCCCAGCTAAGTTAGACTTAAAATAAAGAAATACCCAACAACCACAAGTAAAAAAGGCAAAACCCAGAAAGGAGGGCAGCTCCACGCCCCACCTGGTGGGATTTTGGGACAAGAAAGAAGAGACAGCAGATGGGGAAGAGGCAGATGGAAGGGACAAGGGGGCAATTCCAGCACGACAAGAGCAATCCCAGCACGGCACTGGGATGCCTGGGAGCACCACCCCAGCCCCAAACCCACGAGGATGGGCATCCCCATCCGGGGCTGGGAAACACCCGGGATTCAACAGGATGGGACCCACCTCGTCCACGTTACACACCAAACCCTCCGACATGGGCACCGGGGGGGTGCAACAAAGGCGGGCAGCGCCGGGGTGCCGTGACCTCAATAATGTTTTCCCCCACGCAAAATTTAGGGCTGGGCGTGTGCAGCTCCTTTTTTCCTCTTTTTTTTTTTTTTTTTTTTTTTTTTTTTTAATTCGAAACGCTTTTTCGTTACGGTTTCCCATTACGGATCAATCTACCGTTTTTAATCACCGCTGCCTCCCGCCTCGAGGCGGCTGCAGAACATGGCCCCGCTTTTGCCGCCCCTCCTGCCGCAGCCCCGGCCCCACCTGCCGGGAGGAACGGGGCCGAAACGGGCGCAAAGCGGGGAGGAAGCCCCAAACCCGCCCTCCTCCATCCGTCCCTTCATCGCTCCATCCCTCCATCCATCGCTCCATCCATCCATCCATCGCTCCATCCCTCCATCGCTCCATCCCTCCATCCCTCCGCCGCTCCCCGCCCGCCGCACCTGCCCCGGGCGCCCGCGCTGCCGCAGGGGCCGCGCCTGGCGCCGCCGCAGCCCCGGGGCGCCGGCACCGGGACACGCCCCTCCCGCCGTTTGGGATGAAACGGCCGCATTTTGCTTCTCGGGGCTTGATGGATTTTTTCCCCCCCCCCACCTCCGTTCTCCGCGCGGCGAAGGGAGAGCGCGCCCGGGGGCTCGGCGCACCCCCCCGGCCCATCGCGGCCGCCGCTCCCCGTACCTGCCGCTGGCTGCGCGGGGGTGTCCGCACCGGGGCCGGCTGGCTGGGACAGCGGCGGCGGCGGTGACGGTGACAGCGGCGCGGTGGTGGCGGCGGCGGCGCGGGCGGGGCGGGGGCGCGCGCGGGCTCCGGAACCTTCGCCGCGCCGGCGGGGCGGGAGAGCGCGCGCGCGTGCGCGGAGCCGCCGCCGCCACCGAACCCCCCCCCCATTCCCCCCTCCCCCGCGCGCCCCCGCCTCTCGCGGGCCGTGCGCGCCCCCGCGCCGCCGCCGCCGCCCCATTGTCTGCGGGGAGCGGGGGCGCGCGCGCGGCCCCGGCCGGCAGGGGGCGCCGCCGCGATGCCCCCGCCCCGCACGGCCCGCACCGGGCCCGGGGCACGCGCCGATCCCGGGGCACGCACCGATCCCGCTCCGAGCCGCTCCGGGCCCGGGGCACGCACCGATCCCGGGGCACGCACCGATCCCGCTCCGACCCGCTCCGGGCCCGGGGCACGCACCGATCCCGCTCCGACCCGCTCCGGGCCCGGGGCACGCACCGATCCCGCCCCGCACCCGAGGGACGCGGGACAGCGCCTCGCCCAGCCCTGCCGCCCGCAGTCCATCCCGATTTCTGCCCGGCCCGCACACGCTCCTGTGCCCGTGCAGGTGGCGGCGGCGCGGCCCGGGTGCGAGCGGCGTCCCCTCAGCAGCCTCGGGGCAGCCGCGCCGGTGCCGCTCCGGTGCCGCTCCGGTGCCGCGCCGGTGCCGCGCCGGTGCCGCTCGGTCCTGGCGAGCTGCGGCTGACCGAGGGACAGCAGCCGCCTCCCGCACACGGCGGCAGCCCCGCAGCAGCACCTGCAGCGGAGAGGGACGGGGCCGGGGCCCACGGAGGGACGGGGCCCGGGGCCCACGGAGGGACGGGGCCCGGGGCCCACGGAGGGACGGGGCTGGCGGCTCCGCACCGCCGGGCAGGAGGAGCAGCAGGTGACAGCAGAGGGGCCCGAGCTGCCGGGCAGCGCCCGGGTTCCCTCACCGCCGGCCTGAAGCTCTGCGAAGCAGAGGGGGAGGCTGAAAAAACAGGTCCGCATCCCAAAAGATCCCTCTTTGACCTTGCCTGCTTCATCTGGAGCAGCAGCGAGCTGCCTTTGCTCGGCCTGGAAGGGGTGTGGACCCAGTGGAGATCGCTGGATGGAATCACTGCCTTGTGTTAAGAGGGTTACTATCACTAATAATTGGATTTAATAGAGAAACTGTAGGAGGGCAGGATCCAGTTTTCAGTTTTTCCTGACAAACACTGAGGTGCAAATCAAGGACAAACCTCCACTTTATGAACGGGCTTTTTGTGAGAGAAACAGATGAGAAGCCTGCAGCACCAGGTTCTTCTTAAAGCCTTTTTTACCTGTAGTTGCTGGGTATCTCTTTATTTTAAGTCTAACTTAGATGGGAAAAGGGAATTTCCTCACCAGGTCTTTCCAGGAGCACACTCATGCAGCACCAGTCTGCTTTTTAAAGCAGACCAGACTGGGAATGGTCCTTCTTGGTTTGGAATAAAGGTTTATGGAGTGTCAAAGCTATTCTCTTACTGCAGTATCAATAACTGCAGACTTACAGATTAGAGTTGTACAAAAAAAGAGAACTATTTATGAACATGCGATGTTATGAGATAATTGGGTCCGTTTGTTTGTTTTCAGGTAATATAGGCAAACCATCTAAAACCAGAGGAATGGTTCTTTTCTGCCCATTTTTAAACTGCCTAAAAAGTACCCACTATAGTTCAGCTGGAGAATTTTCCTAGATTAGACACAGAAATCCTCTCAAAAATCTATCACAGCTTTGGGAATTGTAAAATAAATACTACAGTGGTACAGGAGGATCCATCCTTGTGATGCAACAGAAAAGAAGATGAACTGCAGTGCAAGCAGCTCGAGCCCAGTCTGGGACAGCAGCTCTTCCCACGCGCTGTGGGATGCACCAGGAGCACCAGGCTGGCTGGGAGTCAGCTCAGCACCCTCCAACAGGATCGTTTCTTCATCTAAATGCAGCAAAACCTAAAGAGACTCTGGGCCTTGTTTCTTGGAAGTGCTCAGCATGACAACACCTGTCTTCTGAAGTTACCTCAACGTCCCCTTACACCTGCCTGAGTTCTCAGCAACAAATCCTGTCTGGAGCCCAGAAATCCCGGGCTGGGCAGTGAGGCATCGTTCCCCAGTGCCAGCCAGTGTTCAGGCACAGACACATCCAGGCCGTTTAGGAGATCTGCTGGCAAAGGTTAGTCAAGAGTGCAATGCATCAATTGCTGCAGCAACCCCGAGATGTTTCCAGAACTGCTGGAGCAGCCCAAGTCCCAGAGCCCAGCCCGAGGTGGGAAGAGCTCCTGGCGATCAGCAGATCCTGCCCCAGCTGGGAGGAGCTGCAGAGAAGCTCTCTAAGGGCACATCTCTTACCTGTATGTGCAGCAGGCTGACAGCTGATGCAGAGTTTAATTACCGCACTGAGCTCTTCTGGCTCTTCTTCGTGTTCACAGGAGTTTTGTTTATTGGAAAAGGGATCTGGGAATTTTTCCTACTGTTCTCAGGCCAGGCTCCTCTTTCCTCTGCACTCCTGGCCCATACTGCTGCTAGGTGTGTACTATTTTAACACCAAATTATAAAGGAATCCTTTAGCGAGGAGACCATCGGGTCTTTATCTTCCATACCTGTTTCTTCAGCCCTAAGATCAGGCTTATTTTCCTCCCAGGTGAGGTTTGTCCCCTGTTTGGTCACTACCAAGGTTTTCCCTGGCCGGTGCTAGAGAAGGCAGAACGCCACTTTCCAGGTCTCACCTGCGGTGGGAATTGACCTGCAGAGCTGCAGCTGCATTAGAAATTCTGGGTTATACTGGGTTATATTCTGGGTTATACAAGTCTGATGTCCCCAGGGCCTCCTCTGGCCACAAGCTGCTTCATTTGAGTCACTTAATTCAGCTTAAGACTGGCTTTTGCAAAACCATAATGATCCCAGCTGAAATAAATACTCAAATTCTGCACTGGCTTAATTCCATTAAAGCACTACCCAGATCCTTCTGTAACCTGGCCGTTAAAGTTCTCCTAAATAAAGGAAATGGGCTAATTGCTTTCCAAGTGCGATTTTGGAAGTGACCAGGCAGGAGAGAGCCTTGCAGAGCGGCCCAGGCTCGCAGCCCCAGAGGCGGTTCCCAGGCCGTGGCGCTGGCCCAGGACACCAGCTGCTTTCGTAAGCGGCCGGAGCTGGAGCAGCAGTTACACAAGCGTCTCCCGGCCGTGCCCGCGGTGTCACGGCAGGACAGACCCAGCAGGGCTCACGGAAACCGTCCCTGCCACGGGGGGATCGGAGCTCCGCTGGCTCCTCACAAAGCAGACACCTATTTCAGCTCGGACACGGTTCTCTCGGACCGGAGTGACCCAGCAGTTCATTTTCACAGTGATCGGTGCCCCCTCACCAGCTGCCAAGGCCAGCAGGACTGCAGGACGTGAGCTGGGGACAGAAAGGGTCCCGGTGCTCGGCAGCTGAGGACAGAAAGGGTCCCAGTGTTGGGCAGCTGGGGACAGAAAGGGTCCCGGTGTTGGGCAGCTGGGGACAGAAAGGGTCCCAGTGTTCAGAAGCTGGGGACAGAAAGGGTCCCGGTGTTCAGCAGCTTGGGACAGAAAGGGTCCCGGTGCTCGTTAGCTGGGGACAGAAAGGGTCCCAGTGTTCAGAAGCTGGGGACAGAAAGGGTCCCGGTGTTCAGCAGCTTGGGACAGAAAGGGTCCCAGTGTTCACCAGCTGGGGACAGAAAGGGTCCCGGTGCTCAGCAGCTGGGGACAGAAAGGGTCCCGGTGCTCAGCAGCTGGGGACAGAAAGGGTCCCGGTGTTCACCAGCTGGGGACAGAAAGGGTCCCGGTGCTCAGCAGCTGGGGACAGAAAGGGTCCCGGTGTTGGGCAGCGCAGGCGGCACCGGGCCGTGACTCGGCACAAAGAGCCAGCCAGGTCCTCAGCCGTGCTGAGCTCGGGATAAACAAACTCACCCTTTCACCCTGACCTCTTTAGCAAATGAAGAGACCCAAAAAATCCAGGCCAAGGCACTTAAACCATTTTTCACTGGTCCCTCTTGACCTCACCCCATCTGAAAAAACATTATTCCTGTCTCTTTTCAGCTGTGCGGAAGCCACGCAAAGCCCAACACCCGAACCAGAAGATACAAGACCCAATACCTCTAAGGACAGATATATTTTTAATTAATCATTTTTCCATTTCTAAGTTACCAGCTGCAAGAGGCCTTCCGATCACTTAAAGCCCGTGTCTAAGAGGCAGAGCTGACTCATCAGGGAGGCGCAGGATGTGTTCACTTATGGGACCTTGTGGGAATTATCGGGCTCCCGGGCTCACATCACTTAAAGCCAAGATTCCCTTGGACCTGGTGTCATGGAAGGGCAGTTCCAGCACTAGCATCCTCCTTCACTGACGATTCTCAGAGATGCCAGGGGAGACTTTATTCCTGGAGGAGAGCAGCCACCAGAGCTCTGCCAGCTCTGCAAGGGGACAGGGAACACATCTGTGGGTGAAACAGGCTGCAATCCAAACACCCGGGACTGCAGACTGAGCCCCGAGCTGCTCCTGCTCAGCAGGCAGCGGCTGCTCTGGCACCTGCAGGTCACCTGTCCTTGAGCACTCCGTCCTCCCCACAGGGTGGCTCTCACCGGGGAGCAAAGAGGCTCTGGGCACCAGCGCAGGATTTATCCTCGGGCTCGTCAGGGGAGAGCTCAGCCGGCTCTGAGGCAGGGATTGCATCATGCAGCACCGCAGCAGCTCCTGCAGCACCGCAGCAGCTCCTGCAGCGGTGCTGTCACACAAACGAGTCAGCAGGAGCTCTGGCCAGCGGGACTTTCCCGAAGGACGCTGAAGCCGGAGCTGCGCTCCCATCCCAGCCCTGCGCCCCGGTTCCGCCGCCCGCGGGGCCGTCGGGGGTCGCAGCCCGCGGTGCGGGGGTCCGTGCGGGTTTCGGAGGGGCTTCGGGAGCCATCTGCTGTCACCAGCCCAGATTACAGCGAGGGGCGCCCGAAGGGCTCTGCTCCCTCCCACCGGCGCACGGACCAGCTTGAACCACCTTCCCGGAATCACCGGGGCTGGAAAAGACCTCCCAGACCATCATCATCATCATCACAGCCCAACCGGTGACCGATCCCCGCCTTGTCAGCCAGCCCAGAGCGCTGAGTGCCATGTGGAGTCATTCCCTGGACACCTCCAGGGACGGGGCCTCCAGCACCTCCCTGGGCAGCCACTGCCAATGTCTGATCACCCTTTCGGTGAAGAAACTCCTCCCGAGAAAATACCCAGATTTAACTGCAGGCAGAAATAAGAGCCCCTCGGGGAGAACAGCACCTCGCCCAGAAGGGCTCTCCATAGGAAACTCAGTGCTTCCAACACATGGAAGGACTCCACTTGAGGGTCTGCCCTGAGCAGAGATGGCATTGCAGCCCCCTCGGGTCCTGGCATTAATCCCCGCTCTCACAGCCCGGGTGGCAGCAGCAGGGCTGCTCGGAGGGCCGGCAGGGCTGCGGACAGGGAGGTGCTTTGGGAACTGAGAGGCTTTGTTCCTCTGCAGGCAGCAGGGTGGCACAGGGCCTGGCACGGCACCGTGCCCGTGTCCCAGCCCGCCGCTGAGCCTGGCATGACGAGTGTGCGAGCCACAGCAGAATGTGCACACCAGAATGTGCACACCAGAGCCACACCAGAATGTGCAGCCCCGGCGGGCTCAGCATGGGGAGCGTGAGAGCCCCAGGGCTTTAGCACAGCCAGCACAGTGAGTGTGCAAGGCAAACACCAGGTGTGTGCCAGATGTGCGCAGGGTGTTTGTGTTCCAGGTGTCTGTGTACAATGTGTCTGTGTACTGGGTGTCTGTGTCTCAGCTGTGTCTCTATCCCAGCTGTTTCTGTGTCCCAGGTGTGTCTCTATCCCAGGTATGTCTGTATTCCAGCTGTTTCCCTATTCCAGCTGTTTCTGTGTCCCAGGTGTATCTCCATCCAAGTTGTTCCCCATTCCAGCTGTTCCCCATTCCAGCTGTTTCCCCATCCCAGCTGTTTCCCCCTTCCCGCCGTTCCCGTTCCCGCCGTTCCCGTCCCGCCGTTCCCGTTCCCGCCGTTCCCGCTGCCGCGCTCCGCCGGGCCGGCAGGGGGCGCGGGGCCCGCGGGGCGCGCAGCGCGCGTGCGCGGCGGGCGGCGGAAGCGCGGCGGGGCCGCGGGGCGCCCGTGGGGCTCCTTAAAGGCGCCGCCGCCGCGGAGCCGCCGCCGCCCCCGGAGGGACGCGCCGAGCCTGGCTGGAATGAGCAGGTGGGGCGGCACCCCCGGCGCTTCCCCCGGCACCCCGTCCCCCACGTCACCTCCCGCAAGGTCCGCCACGCGTGACTCAGTTTCCCCGGTGTCGGGGGTCCTGCGCTGCGGCGGAGGCGGCCGCACGGACCCCGGGCTCGCCTCCCGGGGAGGGGCACCCCGAGGCTGCCGGGGCACGGATCCCGAGACAGGGAGCTGTAGGCTGGGGAGGGGGCTGCCCGCCCCGCACGGCGGAGGGGCCCGGCCGTGGGCCGAGGGGCCGAACCCCACGGGGTTGGGGGGCAGGAGCCGCGTGGGGATTCTGCAGGGCAGGGCCGGGCTGGCCCGGGGCAGCGCTGTGCCCGCTCCGGGGCAGGACGGCTGTGCCCGGCAGGACGGGACCCACGCCGCCCGGGTGGGAGGTGCGGACCCGGCGTGCCCTCCCCGAGCCTGCCGCAGCAGCCCGCAGGATTTCCCGGTGCCTCGGGGCTGCGGCCAGCCCGGCACAGCCCCGGAGCTCCCGCAGCCCCGTCCCTCCGAGCTGCTCCCCCTGATCGCCTTCAGCCGCCTTGGCTTTCCCCTTGCTGTCCCCACCGCCACCGTGCCACGGCCAGCCCCGCTGGCTCTGGGTTAGGGCCGTGTTTTATCCTGCGTGCAAAGGGGAGCAGCTCCCAGCTGGGAGGGCAGCCCTGGTGCAAACAGGAGCCCCCAGGTGCCCCCCGCCCCAGCAGCAGCAGAGGGGCTGTGCCCACGGCACGTGTAAGGAGCGAGTTTATCAGCTGGGGCAGAGCTGGGAGCAAGAGATTTCCCCGCTTGCGTCAGGCTGAGCAGGAGGGTGGCTCAGGGCAGGACCGGAGGCAGCGCCCTGCCCCTGGCAGGTTTTGCCGTGCTGTGGGGTCTGTGGGGTCTGTGGGGCACATGCCACGCCGTGGTGGGCACGCCGGGGAGCTGTGCCCAAAGAGCCCCCGGGTCCTGGGGCACTGGGGCAGTGGGCTCAGGACAGGCCCAGCTCCCTGTGGGGCTGGGGGAGATCCAGCTCTCCCTGCAGGGCTGCTGCCTCTGCCACGACAGACCCACTCCCTGTGGGGCTGGCACGTGTGGCTTCAGACAGGCCTGTCCCAACCTGCAGCCTTGGTCACCCAACAATTCCAGAGCCCGTAAAGGGAGATTTATGACTTCTCTGACCTTGCAAATTGATGAGTCAGATGGTGAAGGTTTTTGCTGCATTCCCAGGCTTTAAAGAACCCTGTGGGTTCCCAAAGCCTGGAAGCTCTCCTGCTATGGCCCTGTCCCAGCGTGACCATCATGCCCAGGCTGCAGCAGGAGGGAGCAGCTGGTGCTGGATGTGCTGAGGGTCACTTCTGCACATCCTTCTGCCTGGGAAGGGTGTGATATCCCCTGCTTCCCGAGGGCAGCACACCAGCCCTGGAGGCTGCAGCCTTGCCAAGCCCCAGCGGGATCAGGCAGGAGGTTTCAGATGCCTAAACCCTTCTTGGGGTCCTTGTTGCAAACTCCCCCTCCCTGGTGTCCTGCCATGGCTGCACTGGGCTCTGCTGCCATCCCAGCCAGAGCTGGGGGCGGCTGTCACGGTGTGGTTGGTCTTTGCACTTTGTTCCTTCCTTTCCTTAATTTTCCGAGTGCAGGGAGGGGACAGTCCTGCTTCCCCAAGGACAGGGAAGGCTGGGCTGTCTCCAGCTCTCCAGCCAGGCTGGGCCTGCTGCCAGTGTGGGGCCAGGGGGTGTTATCAGGGCTGGGCTGGCCCGGGAGCCCGTCCTGCCACCCCCAGGACACCCAGATTATGGGGGGCCCTGGGCTGCCGTGTGCCGCAGCGATAGCGCAGCGGGCGTGGGACACTGGGGACGCTGGGGGGCTCCCGGGCACCTCCTGCCCAGACAGGGACCCCCAGCCCTGCATCCCCTGCCGTGCCTGCAGGGGGACGGTGCCATGGCTGAGAAGACGCCGCCGAGCCCCGGCGGGGGCATCACGCCGCTGCAGCAGATGCTGGCCTCGGGGACGGGCGCCATCCTCACCTCCCTCTTCGGTGAGCGCGCGGGGCGGGCGCCGGGCTGGGGGCTGGCACGGGGCTGGCAGGGCTAAGGGACGCTGTCTTTTCAGTGACGCCGCTGGACGTGGTGAAGATCCGGCTGCAGGCCCAGAGGACGCCCTTCTCCAAAGGTAACCCCGCGGGGCAGGGCGGGGGGCTGCACCGGCCCCAGCGCGGGGGTCTCTGCTGGCAGAGCTCTGGCAGGGATGTCTCTGCTCCACAGCGTGGGGCCATCGCGGCGTGGCAGCTCACCGTGGGCCCCTCGTGCTCACGGCCCTGCTCTGTCCTGCCCCCTCGGCAGCCTCAGGGGGCCAGCGCTGTGCCTGGCAGCCCCCAGCCCTCCAGGGGCTCAGCCTGCTGCAGCTGCTGGCTGCTCCCCCACTGCCTTTGCTCCAGGCTCCTGCTGCTCCCCTTGGGCTCTGCCCCTTCCTCTGGGGTCAGTGGCTGGGGCTGGCCCCAAGAGACTGGCTTGGTGACAGCAGGAGCTGCTTGGGAAGGGGCAGTGGGGGCACACGGTCACCCACAGAGCTCTCCTGCTGCCCGCTGGGAGCTGTAGCACCCCAGCCCCGGGCGGTGGCACGTCCCTGTGTGGGTGCTCAGTGTGTCCCCATTGTGTGTTTCAGTGTTGGCAGCGCAGTCAGTGCCCTGGGGCGCTCAGCCGGCCACATGTGAGTACGCCAGGGGCTCCTGCTGCCAGTGGTTTCGCTTTCCCGAGCCTTCATCCTGGTTTGCTTCTCCACTGGTGGTGCCTTGGGCTCCTCTGGCTGTGGGGACATCCCTGCACGATGGGGCTGGCACTGTCCCCAGCCCAGCTGCCCCCGCAGCCCTGCTGCAGGGCTGGCTGTGGTCCCCCTGTCTTGTCCCTCTTGGATTGCCACTGCCCGGTGTCCCTTGTGCCTGGCCTGAGAGCACAGCGGAGGGGCCAGTGCTGATGTCCCCACTGTGCCAGGGCAGCAGAGCCAAGGCCAAGGGAGGCATGAACCCTCTCCCGTTGCTGGCAGTGGGTCCTGCTGTGTCCCCGTCCCTGCCGTGGAGCTGGGTGTCCCCATGCCCCGGTTCTGGCCACGATCAGACCCTTGCTGGAGGGTTGTTCCTCTCCTGGCCTTGGTCTCGGACTGGTGCACCCTGGGCTCGAGCGCCGAGGGTTTGGCTCCTTCCTGGAGATGTGACGGCTTTGGGCTCAGACAGCTGGGCACGGGGCGGAGGGGAAGGGTCTGCTGGGTGATGGCAGTGCCGTTGTTTCCTGCCCCAGGGAAGTGTTTCCTCTACTGCAACGGGCTCATGGACCACCTGTACGTCTGCCAGAACGGCAACGGCTGCACCGCCTGGTACAAGGCCCCCGGCCACTTCACCGGCACGCTGGTAAGAGCTCCGGGCATGGCCAGGGCCTCCCCACCCCAGAGGGTGTCGGGGCGTTTTCTGGGGGGTTGCTGGTCCTTCTCCCACCTGTGACTCCTGTCCCTGGTGCTCCGCTCTCTCCCCAGGATGCCTTTGTGAAGATCACACGCTATGAGGGCATCAGATCTCTGTGGAGCGGCTTGCCCCCAACCCTGTGAGTTTGGGAATTCTGGCTGATACCGCCTGCCCAGGCACACAGACGCAGGTCCCGAACCCCCTGCCAGCCCCCAGGGAGGGCACGTGCCCCTCACTGCCCTCCTCCTCCTCGCAGGGTCATGGCCGTGCCAGCCACCGTCATTTACTTCACCGCCTATGACCAGCTGCGGGACTACCTGCACGCCCGCATGGGCAGCTGGAACCACTGCATCCCCTTGCTGGCCGGGGCCCTCGCCAGGCGTGAGTACCCCTCCCCTCTGGGGTCCCCCCATGCCCACCCTGTGTCCTGGCAGGTCAGTGCCTGGCTCTCCTGGCACGGCGCTGGAGGCGCTGGGACGGCCGCTGGAGCGGACAGAGCTCATCGCCGTGTCCCTTCTGCTGCAGTGGGTGCTGTGACGGTCATCAGCCCCCTGGAGCTGATCCGCACCAAGATGCAGTCGCAGCAGCTCAGCTACCGCGAGCTGCGCGTGTGCATCCAGTCGGCGGTGGCGCAGGACGGCTGGCTGTCCCTCTGGAGAGGCTGGGGACCCACCGTGCTGCGGGACGTCCCCTTCTCGGGTACGCCTGGGGGCACGGGGACACGGGCCCAGGGCGGCCCTGTGCTGGGGCGTGCCCAGGGGTAGCACTGGTGTCTCCTCTCTCTTCCCCAGCTCTGTACTGGTTTAACTACGAGCTGGTGAGGACGTGGCTCTGCAGGCAGCCCTGGCTGGACGGGGCCACCTTCACGGTCAGCTTCGCGTCCGGGGCCATCTCTGGCACGGTGAGTTTGGGAGGCTGGGGCTGTGGGAGGGAGGAGTGGGGCTGGGATGGTGCTGGGAGGTGGCAGCAGAGCTGGCACTGGGCAGGAGCCCCACGTCCTGGCTCACCATCCAACCCCACAGGTGGCCGCGGTGCTGACGCTGCCCTTCGACGTGGTCAAAACCCAGCGGCAGATCGAGCTGGGAGACAGCGAGGTGCACCCAGGTGAGGGGCCAGGCTGCAGGCAGGTGCCTGGGGGCAACCAGGACTCCCCATGGCTGTCCCCCAACCCTCCCCTACCCCCTCTCCCCACAGTCACAGCCTCCAAGCCTTCCTCCACCTGGCTGCTCCTGCAGCGGATCCGCGCCGAGTCTGGCACCCGGGGGCTGTTTGCAGGTGAGGCTGTGCCCCGGCCCCGTGCCGGTGTTCCGGGTGCCCTGGTGTCACCCAGGGCTCACGGCGCTGTCCCTGCAGGGTTCCTGCCCCGCGTCATCAAGGTGGCACCTGCCTGCGCCATCATGATCAGCACCTATGAATTCGGCAAGAGCTTCTTCCAGAAGCTGAACCAGGAGCAGCAGCTGCGGGGATTGTGAGCGGGCCTGGGGCCGGGCTGGACGTGGCGTGCCCGGGGGACGGTGCCAGCCCTGCCCGTGCCAGGTGTCGCAGGAGCGGTGATCCGTGCCCGGCTGTGCAGAGCCCAAGTGCCTTCGTTCCTGCTCTGCCTCCCGCCGCTGCACACGGAGCCAGGGCCAGCCTGGCCCCACTCCCTGTCCCAGCCACGCTGGGGGACATCTGTGCCTGCTGCTGTGACACTGGGGGGATCCGGAGCCCCCCGCGCCCGTCCCCTGGGGCTGGACTGATGCTGCTGTTGGATTCATGGACACTCGCCAGGATGGGGTGTCCCGGGAGACTCGGCCTGGCAGGAGATGGAGCTGAGGCTCTGGCAAGGACCAAACCCCAGACCTCGGGGGCTTCTCTGCCTGCCTGGGCCCCCCAGCCCTGCTCTGCCTGGGGATCTGCCCCCCCGACCATCACTCTCAGCCTCGCCTTGCTGGCTCTGCGTGGCACGGGGACACATCAGAACCCTCTCCCTGCCTCTGGACCTCTCCTCCCACTCGGGATGTCCCCATCCCCGGTCAGACCCTGGGTTGGACAGGCCCTGTGTGGGGACAGACCTCACTGCTGCTCTGGGGGGCCGCTGTGGCGCCCCTGCCCCATCCTGTCACTGCAAGGGCCTGCCCAGCTCTGCGGGCACTGCCCCCGTTACCCCGGGACTCACGGAGGGAATTTCTCCTAATTTCTTAAATAAAATAATTATAATTATCTCTTAGTGGAAGGATTTCTCTCTGTGTGCTGGGGGGCTGTAGAGACACCTGTGGGGTGACAGCCACGGCCCTGTGTGTGGGCACGGTCCTGTCACCCACAGGGTCCCTGCAGGGTGTTCACTGGGGGCTGGGGACCCCAGGACCGTCATCCTCCCCCGGCAGCCCCCGCTGCTGCTGGGCACGGGGCTGGCCCGGCCTTGGCGTTCTGCTGGGGCCCCAAGGTGCTCTCCCTGCCCAGAGGGGCTGGAGGAGGCTGCTGAGCACCCCAACATCCTTGCCAGGGCCAGGACCTGGTGGCAGGGGCCACGAGGGGTCTGTTCCCCACTGGGGGGTGGGTGACAGGCCAGCTCTGCTTGCTGCGTTTATTGATTCCTTTTGCTCCAACAAGGCAGACGGGGCTGAAATAAAAACCAAAATCACCCAAAACAAACCCAAAACCCAGGGGAGGATGGGGAGGAAGGGGGAGGCAGAGTCCTCCCCCTGTTGTGGGGATGCTGCTGCAAGGGGGGACAGGCAGCCCCCGCAGCGGGGGGAGCTGGGGAGGCCAGGCAGGCGCAGCCCGGGCGGGCACCAAGGGCCGAGCAGGATGGACAGCGGGGCCACGCCGGACCCTGGCCCCGGGAAGGGGCCACCCCGACCCCCCTCGGTCCCAGCAGCTGGCACTCACAGCGTCCCCCACCGTGGCACAGTTCATTGCCCCTGTCCTGCGCCCCCATCCCAACAGGTCCGTGGCTCAGCCGGGCTCCGGGCCAGGGGGTCTCAAGATGGGGAGGGGGCTGCCCGTCCCCAGCCGCCCCGGTGGGATGGGCGAGTCCCCCGCCGGTGCCGGGGCGGCGAGGGGCCGAGCTCCGTCAGTCCGGTGCCGTCAGGCCGGGCCGGGGGGCGCGGGGGCCGGGGGTCTCAGCTGGGGCTGCGGGTCGGGCTGGCTTCCGTGCTGTCGCTCACCAGGCACTCGTTGGACTTGAGGCTGGCCAGGGACTTGCAGCTGGGCAGGGAGGCCAGGGAGCCGCAGAGCCCCAGCATGGAGGGCGTGGGGTCCTTCCCTGCGGGCAGAGGGGGCGTCAGGCGGGCTCGGCCGCGTGTCCCTGCCCTGCCACCCCGGGGGGACAGCGACCACCTCTCCGGGGCCACCTGGCTTCCCTGCACTGCTGGGGCAGCATCCCAACCGCGAGGAGGGGGCTGCTGGGGGGTCCCGACACCCGGGTGCATGTGGGGAGAGGTGCTGAGCCCCGGGGGCACCCTAAGGTGGGTGGGGGTCTTACCCAAGGGCCCCCAGGGCTCCCCTTCGCGCTTGCCCTCGCCCAGGCGCTGGGAGTCGGAGCTGAGGCTGTTCTCGGCCGAGAGCTGGTCGGTGCTCACGAAGCTGTGCCTGCAGAGGGACAGCCCTGAGCCCTGGCGCTGGCACAGCCCTGCTGCCCTCCCACCCCCGTGTCCCCCCCGGGGCTGGGCAGGGTGCTTCGGCGGGTCTCTGCCCCCGCTCTGAGCTTGCCTTCTGTAGAGTTTGCTGTCCGAGCCGCTCTCGTTGCCATTGAGGGTCCCCAGGGAGGGCCACTGGTTGACCAGGGGTGTCACCATCTCCTTGGAGAGCTGGGCCAGCTGAGGGTTCTCGCAGGGGATCAGCCCCGTCCTGCAGCAGAGGCGACTGCTCAGCTCCTGGCACAGCCACCGGCGCCAGGAGCTGCCAGGGGACACGGCCCGGGGGACGTGTGGGGCACTGGGGACACCCAGGGCCTGTGGGGCAGCCCGGCTCCAGGGACCCCCAGCCCTCCGAGCCCCCCGGCCGTGGGTCCCCACTCACAGCTGCTCCTGCAGCTCCAGGATGACGCCCTCCAGCTCCCTCTTCTCCAGCTGGTTCTGCACCATCACCTCCTCCAGCCGGAGCTTCAGCCGCTTGTTCTCCGCCTCCAGGTCCTTCAGCTGCGACTCCCGCAGCCGCACCAGCTCCTCCAGGTACCCCTGTGGGAGGCCACCGTCAGTGCTGCCCCGCTGCCACCATCCCCAGTGTCCCCAGGGCCATCCAGAGGGGCAGGGAGCGGGCTGGGTCACCGCAGCAGCAGGATGAAGGGCTGATGGTCCCACTGGGCTGTGGGAGTGGGGACGCAGAGGCAGAGATGCTCCAGGCTGGAGCATCCTGGGCAAGTTGAGACCCTGACGGCCCCAGCCTGGCTCCCGGTACCTTTTGGGCATAAACAATGCGGAATTTCTGCTCCATCTTGCGCCACTTGTTGTACCAGCTGTCCTCGTCGGTGACCAGGGGCAGGTAGGGGTGCTCGGGTGAGCTGTCCTCGCTTGTGCTGCTCTCCACACTGCCCCGCTCCTCCTCCTCGCTCAGGTAGTCATAGCTGGGGGGGTGGGGGCTCAGCAGGGGCTGTCAGGGCTTCAGGGAGCCCCATCGTGGTGTTGGGGGAGAGACGGGGGGTCCCCACCCCAGGGAGGGCCCCCAGCTCCTACCTCTGGGTGAACTTCAGGTAGGGCGTGTAGTCAATGACCACGGGCGTTTTGCCGTCCATCACCTCTCCCTTCAGGCAGAAGCTGAGCAGAGGCAGCAGGAGAAGGTCAGGGGTTGTCAGTCGGGGCCGGTGTCCCCCTGTGTCCCCTGTCCCCACCTGAAGTCGATGGCGCTGAGCCCGATCAGCATCCCCGTGAGCACCGTGGACTCCTCCCGCAGCATGATGGCCCCGTCGTCGTAGAACCGCCTGTGGGGAAACACGCGGCTGGATGTGCCCTCCCAGCGCCCCAAAACCCACCCCAAAACCCACCCCAGCACACCCACAGCCTGCTCTGGGGGCTGCTCACCTGGTGGTCCGAGTGTCCCGCAGGGCCGTGGAGATGTACTCGGACATTCGCTTCTCCATCAGCGCCACGCGGATCCAGGCCCGGCCCTGCGAGGAGCGCCCCGGGCACTCCTGAGGATGGGGGCTGCCTCGGGGGGTCCCCACATCCCCACCCCCCGGGCAGCAGCTGGAGGTCCCCACACAGGAGTGGCTTTGGGGACCCAGAGCTGCTGCTGTGTGCCATGGGGCCCTGGGGATGGAGCTGCAGGAGGGCAGGGGAGGGAGCAAGGAGGGGGCACAGAGGGCTGGGGATGGGGATGGGGATGTAAATATGTACATGGGATGGGATGGGATGGGATGGGATGGGATGGGATGGGATGGGATGGGATGGGATGGGATGGGATGGGATGGGATGGGATGGGATGGGATGGGATGGGATGGGATGGGATGGGAATGTAGATGGGTCCATGTTCCAGGGTCAGGGTGGAGTGAATGGAAACAAGGACAGGCATAGAAATGGGGACAGGGACAGGGCCAGGGCCAGGACTGGTGCCTTCCTGACCTTGGCCCTGGAGGTGCTGATGTTCTCCATGCTCTCGATGCTGCTGACGCAGTTGTTGGGCACCTTGCTGCAGGCCAGGCGGATGTAATCCCAGAACCCGCGCTGTCCATCAGAGCTGAACCAGCTGACAGGGCCTGCAGGCACCCCCGGGCTGGCTCAGGGCCGGCAGAGCCCCTCCACCAGAGCTGGACACGCTCCCCAGTGCCGGCATGTGCGTCCCCATCCTGCGGGACACAGGGACGGGGACAGGGACGGTCCCGGGGCCGCCGTTACCTTTGAAGCGGTGGCTGAGGATCTGCTCAAGGATGGCAGCGAAGTTGACGAACTCCTCGGAGGAGTCATCGATGGGATCCGCCGTGTACTTCTCCAGCAGGGTTTTCACCGAGAACCTGCGAGGGGACGGGTGTCGGGGCGGGGAGGGGACGCTCACCCGGCGCCCACCTCCAGCCCTGGCACACGTGAGGCTTTGGCACCGGAGCAAAGCGCTTTTCCAGCTGTCGGCTGGGAAGAGGGCGTCGGGCCGGGCTGTGCTCGGTGACCCCCCTGTCCCCGCGTCCCCAGGGACCCCGAGGGGCGGCTGCGCTCCCCGCTGTGCAAGTGGCCAGGAAGGGCGAACAAAGGCCCCCTTCCTCCCGGCCGTGCGCGGGCGGTGATGGCTTCCCCTTCCGCCCGGCCGCTCGTGCTCGGGCCACAGCGACGCCGAGGACGCGGACACGGACCCGCCGAGCCCGGCAGGACAGGGCGGCACGGGGCAGGTGCTTGGTGTGGCCTGGGGGGCACCGCCCCGTCCCTGGGGTCTGAGGGGCACAGCTGCCTGGGGGGACCCCCTGACAGCAGGTGAGGGTGTCCCCCCGTGGCACTGAGGTCTGGGGGTGCCTCGCGGCGCAGCAGCGAGGGCTGGAGCAGCCTGGCGCAGGTCCAGAGGGTCTCCATGTGGTGACAATGGGGGTTTAGATGCCCCGTGCCATGGCAAGGAGATCCGCTGGGTCCCCACGTCATGGCAGCGGGTTCTGTGGGTGCCCCGTGCCGCGCTGAGGAGCCCGGGGGTCCCCAGACCCCAAAATGAGGCCCTGGGGGTCCCTGCCAGGTTGTCCAGGCCCTGGTACCTCCCACACCCCCCAGTCCTGGGCCAGGCTCCAGCGCTGTCAGCACCAGCAGCCCCTCACCAGCCCCCGGGATGTCACCCCAGCCCTGCAGCCCGGCAGGAGCCACCAGCCCCCCCTCCCCATCCCTGCACCCCATTCCTGCCCCCCCATCCCGGTCCAGCCGGGAGTCTCCATGACAACGCTCATCCTCCATCCTTCATCCCCATCCCCGCCGCTCCCTGACGTCACTTCCTGGGCCCCCGCCCGCATGGGGGTCCCCAACCCCAGCCCCCCCCCGCACCCCGCTGCCCCCAGCACCCCCCTCACCCTCCGCTGCCCCCCGCATCCCCCCGCATCCCCCCGGTGGCCCCGACATCGGCGCACTGGCCGCCTCCATGTTGTCACTGTGTCCCCCGGCCCCCGTCTCTCCCTTCGCGACCCCCCCCCCAGCCCCGGTAGATCCCCGGAGCCCCCCGGAGCCCCCCGGAGCCCCCCGGAGCCCCCCGGAACCCCCCGGAACCCCCGCAGCCCCGGCCCCACCGCCCGCAGCCCCGCAGCTCCGCGCCCCCCCC